GTTGGTTTGTACGCAAGCTTGTCTTTGAGTCGGGTTAACCCACTGAAATCTAAAAAAAATAACTTCCCTGCTATCAAAAAACGCCAAAGATTAAGTTAGTTCTAGCTATATCTGGAAAAGCCTGGGAAGATTTTTAAATTTAGTAGCCTCAAAATCGAGGTGGCTTGAGGCTTTACTTTACAGAATATAGCACTATTACGGTGGCTACTTGCCACCTGCTAATTTTCCCCACAGATTTTTTTTCTACCTAGACAGTGGCGTAGAAAAGTATTTTTCATTGGGGGGGGGGGATGATTGGCGTGTTAGACAGTGTCGTAACAGGCGCGGGGGGAGGGAAACTGCCCCTCCCCTGACGGTTTTTACCGGGCTGACCAAGCCGTCGTACAGGGCTGGGTAATAAGAAAAAAAAGAAAGAGGGGAGAGGGAGGGAAAGAGAAAGGAGAGGAAAAGAAAAGGAAAGGAAAAGAAAAGGAAAGAAAAAGAAAAAGAGAAGAGCAAAATAAAGACAAGAATAAAAAGGAAGATATCATAATGACCAGACTCACAACACCCTATTTGTTTGAGTAATGAATGTTTGTGTACATAGTTCGGGTGCTCAAATTAAACATACATTGAAACTCGAATTGTACGTGGCCTTATTAAGAATATTTTTGTTTATGTACCTGATATTGTCAATAAACACTCCCTAAAAACAGCTTAAAAATGCTCAGATCGTCAGAACGCCCAGGGGGTGTCCCCCCACCCTGAACCCCCACCGGGACCCCGACAATGGACCCCGGCGGGGGCTCTGCTGGCAGCCGGCCCGCGTTTCAAATCACGTATTTTAGGTTGGTAACTATGTAACCTACCTAGACATGTTGGCAGATCAGACAAAATAGGCTAAGAACAACTAGCATTCAATTAAATACACTTAAAAACAGTTTTGGCTCGACGTCGTAATAATTTATGTACGAAAGTGTGTTCTTCAGGCCTATCAGTTCATCGATCTATGGAAGAAAGACTACGTATCCAACTACTCAATAATGTTGATTTCCGGCCATCTAGGAATCAAAATTTCCCGGGGGTGGACCCCCCTTTCAATTTTGGGTTTATGGGAAAACGAACAAATCCTGGATCCGCCCCCTGAAAAGATATATTTTAACCCTAGCTTGAGTGCATTTTGTATGTAAATGCATCAGAAAAATATTTAATACAATTAGTCATATTTTTTATAAAGAGTTTAGTGTATAATCATCTGTTAATTTGACTGTTTTGAATAATTTAACTCTGTTGTATTTTTTACCATCCCTACATTCTTTATCTGTTTGTATGTATTGAATTATCTTGTAGTTTATATTTTATAAAAAAGCGCCCCTGAATCTCAGCTAACCTCCTTGGCTTAGCTGGAAGGGTCACTCTCTTTAAATAATATTTTGAAATAAAATAAAATAAATCATCATCATCATCATCATCATCACAGGGAACAGTGTAATTTCACTGTTCCCTGATCATCATCATCATCATCATCACAGCAGCACGTCCTCGCGTCCCCATCGGTCCACTCTCACAAAACGGACACACAAGTTTTCCACATTTTGACTCTCTCCGGGATTCTGATTGGCTATAGCAGAGCATCCTGCTTCATCGTGCACATGAGAGCTAATCAGTCCGTGTAAGATGGCATGTTGTAATATACGGTATGTTGTTGATAATGTTGAAGAGTCTATTCCAGCATTAATATGTATTTACTATAGTAACTATAAAAATAGTGGAAAAAATAGGCTTTATATAAATACAAGATATCTTTAATAATCGTTACATATAAAGTGATATTCAGCATTTAGTAAGTACTAGGGCTTTTTATAATTAGAAGAGATTACTCAACACTATGCCATGCAAGACTATATACAAAATATTCAAGAAAAAAATTCAATAACGAACATTATTAAACGATTCGGGATAGAAAAATAATGTTGGAGGTAAATTTGATGACGTCAGGATCGAATAATAATAAATTAACAAATATGAATATAAAATAAATTTAGTCAATATATCAATTTTGCCCGCTGTTCATTTGTTTACGCACCAGTGCGTCACAAACTTTTATCCAATGAATAAGCAAGAATATACGCATGCGCATTTTATTTATATTACAACTTTAAAATGTCTTGTCCATGGAGGCAAGTTTCTTTTCGAAGGTTACCTGCTTTTCCAGGAAATTCTTCCGTAATATCGCATTATGGAAGCGCAGGAACACAAAGGAAAAGATACACAAATCCAGGGCAATGCTCAGTTCCAGAGTTGCGTGAAGGTATGCTTTTCTAAAGTTTTAAACCTTGTCATATTTAGAATGAATCCACTGATGGGATGGGCTTGTTGCTAGCTTGCTTGTTGGCTGAGTCCGTGCGACTGCGGTCCTGAACCGGGCTGTGAGGGCCTTCTCACTGGGGATAGTTAGGCCTAGGCTTAGGCTGGGCCTAGGTTTATGCAAATTGGAACAATTAGTTTTTTGGAATTATACAGTTGATGAAAGGCTCACACATTAAATTGTAAGATATGAGCTTCATATAAGAATAATAAGAATAATAAGAATCTTTATAATAAGAATCTTTATAAAGAATAATGGAAACAGAATTTTAAATATTAAAAATAATTAAAAATAATTAATAGATCTAGGCCTATATTAATAATATTAAAATTAAAGACAACAAAAACAAAGTCGGCCTAGCTAGGGCCTAGGCCTATTGGTCCTAATTTAAATAATGGGAAAATACTTTACAATACACAGTGTGGTCACTAGTGTTTTATGATAGGAATCTGCGTGAGTATAACAAATTAAATTGGGCTGTGGATATTGTTCTGAGAGTTTTGTGTAAATTCAGGCTCATAGCCAGGTTCTTCCAAGGGGGGATTTTCTCTGCGTGAGTTCCACAGTCGAAGCCATGCTGGGTTCAGCGAAACCCCCAAAGCAAGAGGATTTTTGTGCTTTAAGGGTCTAAATAATGCTATAAATTAATTTTTAAAAAAGCAGATATGTTTGAAAATGGATGTGACTGTGGGTCTGCAGTGCATTAGTTGGGTTGGAGGACGTATTTGGGAAATTTAAAGAGGGGGTTTCGCCAGAAAAGAGGGGGGGGGGGTTGCTATATAAAGGGGTTCACCCGAACCATAAAAACCCCCCTGGATACTGGATACGGGCCTGTCCAAGGTATTGATTGGAGGAGTTGGCTTGACCCTCTCTAACCTTACACTTCAGTCTTGCTATCTTCCCACTACAGCATGCCGTAAGAATATATCCATAGTGAAAAAAATTGCCCTAGCCAGTACCTGAACCTAGGCCTAGTAGAAAAACAGCAATAGCAATTATGACAATTAACCAACAATAATATTGAAGATATTTTTTCAATGGTTTTTATAGGCCTAGGCTCCTATATATTTTTTGATAATACTGTACAGTATTTTGATTTAGAGTATCATTCATAAATTGATTGCAGATAGCCTGAGACCGGAAACTGTTAAGGAGTACTTGTTAACACATCAATGGATAGTTAAAGAATATGTTGAGGAGAAGGTTTCAGCAGAAGAAGTAGAGGAATGGCTAAAGAAAAAACAGCCTTTTAATACTGGGGAATGTCTAAAAGAAGGTATTATACACAGTGGTGTATTAAGGAGTCTTGGAAGTGTGGGGAAGGGGTGTGGGGGCTGATTGGAGTGCGAATGTGAAGTGGGGAATCAGGCATGGGGTCAATTACAGTGAAAATGTACTCAATTACAAATTGCAGGTACTATATTTCTCCAATTACAATTACAATTATAATTACTTTTTCTGAATTACAATTACGACTACTGTACATTTTTCTTAATTACATTTCCATTTTGATGTTCGGACAAAACCACATTGTATTTTTAATTAATTACACTTACAGAATACAAGAAAATTACATACTCTCCCTAAAATAATACATATTCCAAACAAGCAAAATACACACCATCGTTTCACTACTCCCAGAATACAGGAAACTGCATTTCCAACCTGGAAAACAGATATTACACCGGCTTTAATAACTTTTGCCAAAGCCTTACAATGAAGCGCTGCATCTCTGTGGACTTCTTTACTTGCAGTCTCACCCTATCTGTCGGGGATTGCCAAACTGACTAGGCCCAACTACATTGTTTTATTTTTTCTCAGCTAACAAGGAATTATTTTCCCACTTTCGTGTAGATAATTTTAACACAATATCTTCAGACATGAAGATGTTCTCAGGTGATGGCTCAACAAATTCTATAGAGGATGTTATGTTAAGCATGGTGGCAGATATAGAGGACAACACAGGGCTTCCAAAACTATTGAACAGTGTTGCAAAATTAATCTCAAAAGGTATTTTTAGTTACTTGTGTATAATTTTTTTATTTATTCACAAGTACTGTACAAGGAGACAAAGATATTAACACTCTGACCGCCAGGGATTTGAAAAAATAGTATCAGCCACAGCCAGACCTCTTAGCAAATTTTAACACTTTTCCCAAGTTCGTTGAGATTGCGTATGTGATCAGATTGACATGTAGTGAATACTACAAGAACTACAAACATTTTAGCTTTACAATGGTACCAAACACTTTATTCTAATCACAATCTGTGACCTGTAACAGTAAAATGAAGATGACTCGCTTTTGGAGATTTACGCAATTTCGCACAACGAAGCTGAGATAATCGTGATTTTGTAAAAGTAAATCAATACCGCTCTACGCTAATGTAAACAAACAAACAGTGAAATACTTACGGTTCAGACTGAATACTTATAGTGTTCAAATTGTTAAATACATGTCGGGAATTACCCCATCTATCGGATTCCGTAAAAAAACCTGAAACACGTAGATCTTTGTGTTTGGTAGTCAAACGTTGCGTTGCCAAACACACAGATCTCTGTGGTTGGCGGGCAGAGTGTTAAGTGCTATTAAAATCTGGAATTATTATTATTATACTTAATTGTTATATACCAAATAAAAAATAAATAAATAAAATTCTTCTCAAAAACAATTACTGTACCATCAATTGAGATATGTAACATATGCCATATGGTGTACCTAAAACTTTTAATTAATTGTTAAATTAAAATTTTAATTTTAATTATTTATTTTTGCAGTGTGTAATGCAGATGTCTTTACTCTGTATCTCGTAAGCCCAATGGGAAATGTAAGTTAATCACATTAGAAGACAACTAGAAATCAAATTTAATCTTCTTTTTCCAGTTAATATTTGTAATGAAGGCTCAAACGCATCATCTTATTACAAATGTGCAGCAAAAGGGTGCTGTATACATTATGAATGTACTTATAGAACTGCTTATAAATAGTACAGTAGACTATTACTCAATCTTATATGAGGGGAATGGAGTTGTATATCTTAGTGATTAAGATGCTTGCCTCTAATCCTAATAATTTTAGCTCTTTGCTGGAGTCATAATTGTTTTCATGAAAGTACAATACACTGCTGTGGGAGTGGGGAAGGGCATTATTGAAAGAACTTTAACACTAGCTTTCATGGTTGAATGGTTTAAGCAGCATAGCACAACAGTAAGGTTTCAGGCTTACAATCAAGAGCAGCGGCGGTGCTGATTTCCCCGACATCAGGGCAACACCCCCGACAGGCAGGGCAAGAGGCCCGAGCCGGGGAGGGTTTGGGAAGGGGGACTTACTGCGCCTGACGGTCATCGGCCAACGCGATTCTATAACGCAACGCCACGACGTGCATGCACGGATCGTTATAAATGATGATTCGTTCTGACTGCTACCAAGAAATACCAGACAGCGTCGCATCATCTGGCACTCACAGGAAGCGGAGATGGATTCATGGGTAGATGGTCCTACGACCGTCGTATGACACAGTGTGCCTGGTCGTACGTATACTACTATTAAGACTAATCACAGGTATAGAAGTACTTCATTGCATTAACTTTGATGATTTTGATACTGTTTTTAAAAAATGATGTATACCCATTTTCAGTTTATGATTTTCATGAATTCTATTCAGTATAAATTATATTCTTAGTCTCTATTTTAAGTACTGTGGTACATACAGTACCTACAGTACTACAGGTAATAAAGAATAAATTACAAATTTAGAAGTACAGTACAATACTTCATGCATTGCATTGATGATTGAAAATATTAAATTTTTGTGATTTATCTATTTCACTCTATTTTACCAGAATATTTTTGTGATGATTTTTATACTATTTTAGGACCTTTTGTTTTGCAAGGAAGATAAAGAGGGAAAGTGAGTACAAATTAATACATTGCATACATTTACGATAATTATGATCATCATGGTAATGGTAGGATAAATGTAGAGCCCATATATAGTGATGATGTAGCTACATATGATCATGATGTGATGTCATCATTGCCATATTCAAGCATGTCACTTTTTGACAGGGCTTAAAGCAGGTTTGCGAACATACAATCAGCCAAAGTTTGATCAGACATTGTCAGACAAATGTTGATTATTACAAAATGGTACCCATGGTGACCATGTAAATTTCAAATTAAAAAGTGACAAGTCATCATGTCATAACCATCATCATCATCATCATCAACACCACCACCACCAATAATTATTCTAATCATAGATATAATGATTAAAATTTATCATAATTTATCTTAGCAGTGTTTGGGACCTCATGCTCCCATCATCAAAATATGTTATCCATTTTATTCATTTATGAAACTTTTACCTTTGTAATAATCACATCATTACTCCTACATTTTAATCTTTAATTTTGAAATTTTATATTTTAAAATTAATAAGTTCTTTTTTTATATGCCAGGATTGAGCAGATCATGATTGGTCCAATTACCTACGGTCAGACAATTTCATCGTATGTTGCATTCAGCAAAGAGTTAATTATGGAATCGGATATCTTAGGGGTATGTTATTCGCAAAGCAAATGCTTCTATTTATCATTCTTTATGTTTATTCATATATTTTATTCAGTTGTTTTAACATTAATTACTACATGGTTTATTCTTTGTATTGTTTCTAAGCCTGTCCCCAAAAATGTGGGGCTTATAATATTAGAGGAATGGTAATCTAATTGTTTAAGTGTATTACTTCAACACTGTCAAAAGGTAGATTAAGCCTGCAAAAACCAAGGTAAACTTGATTTGGTTGTTAATATAATTTGTTTCCATGTTCTCATCCAGAACATATAATCCAAATTTTAAAATTAGATCAAATTTTGGAATTGCATTACAAATTGCACTCTCTGCCTTTGAAATAGTTCTTCAGTGAATATTAATTTCTTGTATTGGTAATGTGTGAGTGTCACATATACTTGAGATGGTTTTCATGTTGTAAAAACCTAATTAATTTTTTACTAGTATTGCAAACATCATTCTAGAGAAACTTACAGTACTTAATACAGAACATGCCATCACATACATCAATGTTATATACAGTATATCTGATATCCTAGTATGTAACATGAATATAAATTGGGGTGTTTGAGCACAAAACGTAAAATTCAATACCTGTTCTGACCAACATCTGCCTATCATCTGTGGCCTATTTACATAGGTTTAGTAAAAAATTGAGCCTAATAACATAATTATTTTTGAAAGATGACTTCATCTAAACGTCCATATAAATTATGCATGCTAACGGCGTTATTATTTGTAAAATAGTCACTGCACACTTTGTACAAATGAGTAAATTTCAGGTCTCCAGGGGCCAAACTAAAATTTCTAATTTCAATTTAAAATAGGATAAATGTTTATGTAAGGACCACAATGGAAATAAGTTGCCTATTTTGGTATTTATTGTGTTTTAAACTTCTGAATATGATGTTTCTTGTCTTTGTTTTATGTTCATATTCAGAATATAAAAATGTAAAAAAAATAGACAAATGAAAAATAAAGGATAAGAAAGTATATTACATTCTCCAAGTATTGAAATGCACGCCATCGTGTTGGGATTCAATATTTCGACATTAATTATGTCATCATCAGGAATGAAAAAAATTATCCATATTAGCAAGCTTATATGCACAAGTACCAAAAGTGTTTAACCAATCAAAACATTAGATCTCTAGTAGGTGACATAGCAGTGATTTAAACAATCAAAGCATTCTTACTCTACTGATCAAGAAATTATTAAAAATAAAAGACTAAAAAAAAGTAATTGATTAATAATAAATGGGTTTGGTGATATAAATAATAGATGTGGAATATGAGCTTAGTGGTTAAGGTCTCAGTTTTCAGGGTCCTGTGTTCATATGTACAGCTATATATCTGTCTCTTATACACATCTAGATGTGTCTAAGAGACAGGACATTGTCAGACA